GTCCAGAGGAGAATCGCACTAACACAAACATGCGGGTCGGCTTCACTGCCGCAAGAGACGCAAGCCCAGGCGACTCAAGAGGGGCCTAATGCTAGGATAGCATGCACTCCTGATTGCATGAGGCGATTTGTGTATTTACATGATAGTGTCGTGCTCGGCAATTGAACGGATCCGCTTTTGGTTAGGTCTGCTGATCATGGATGAATTAATCATGTTACGTGAAATTGAAAAGGATTGAAGGTGGTGGTGTTCATTTGTTCGTGGCCGATTGTTGGGGTTGGTTGATGAGCGGTGGGATGCGGATGTGGCCGGCTATCGTCACTCAATCTTTCCATGAGTGACTCCGGTGTGCGTACGTATGGCGCCGTTTGAACGATCATGGTAATCCGGGCATGTTCAATGTCCGAGCAGTTGTCGTTTGTTGATTGGTGGAGGGAATGGCCTTGTGGCTCCATTATTGTAGGAAGACTCAGCTTTCCTGGGGTTGCAAATATTGCTCAATTTTGTGCACGTACATATGCGCTTGGGTTATCGCTAGTGTAGGAACATGGGAGGCCTTCGCTCCATGCCCGCACTGAAATCTGGTTAAGCAAAATTAAAACCATGGCGCGGCAGGTAATGCAGTGGGTGTCATGGCGCTGTTTGCTGGGGGCCGGGTCCCTCAAGGGGAATGTCGGCCGTTGTGAGATGTGTTCATAGAGTTGGATTCATTAAGCGGGCTATTTGCGTTGCACTTGGTTGATGACTGAGGCTCCGTGCCCCTTCTTCACGTTTGGGGTCGCTTTCACTAAGTCAAGGGCACATCTGATAGACCAGTGTTTCGGGATTTCATAATTCACCAGGTGCATGGGCTCTTGATTGTAGGCTTGTTTAGGGGTTGTTTCTTGTCTTTAGGCTCTTTATGAGTTTGTTGTCTCTAGGCTTGTTTAGGAGTTTGAAACCATTGGATTCGGGGCTCAGATCGTAATGGCCATCATCACGAACGAGTGAATACAGCAGCCATTACAAGTTATGTCGAGTGTAGATCAGTCCAGTCCACAGGGCTATCCAGCTACCCACTCTGGTTTGGGCCACGAAATGGAAGATACGGCCCAGAGCAAGGGCACGGCGCCCTAGGAGTTCTCCCCTCCAGTTTCTGGGAGAAGAGGGTCGGTCTGCGGATAAGTCACATCCTAGCACTCATGCACGGAAAGCGGCCTCTTCCGCTTGACATCCAGGGTGCTGGCTGATGGGAAGGCCATCAGGCCAGCGGCATGAATGTGCACGGGGGTCGTGGACTTAAAGACTGGACAGCGCAATGTAGGCGACGGGTGGCGAGCTTTTCTCCATGGTCTCTCTTAACCCGTGCATGGTTTGAAAACGGTGCATGCAAACCTGGAACTTGGCCATGTCATGTGCCAACTGTGCACCAACTGTTGCTGTGCTGGTTGCTTAGTGCCTGAAGGTAGCTTTTCCTGGGAGCGTATATTGATCTGTGCTGGTAATGAGGGGGGGTAAGGAAGCAGAGCGTAATGAGGTTCAGCAAACTGCAATAGCAATGAAGCTTGATGGGCGTAAAGCTGTTAAATAGAGATCAGCCACAGCTAAGACGGGGCTATAGTGCGATCATGCGATATACATATGCTATGGGCCGTACAAGCTAAATAGATATGGTCAGGCAACACAGAATTATGTTTTATTTGCAGCAGCGCGCGTGGGTGTTTGTCGGGCACGGTGTACGCGGTACGAGTTGCGGCCGAGGACGTGTTTGGCCCATCTATTAACGCAAATCGTTTTGGTGGCGTCGTAGGCGTGCGTGGGGTTGCATTTGCGGCCATGCAAGACAGTCGGCGAAAACCTGTTGCAGTTTATATATATTGCCTAGTTGACATGTCGTTGACAGTCAGCTTAAGCAATTCGATATATCTAACGGCTTTCACTAATGGCCGTTAATCATATGCAGAAGCAAGAGCAGCAGGCGTAAGTTCCTTGTGTTCAGATTTCCGCCCGCCGCCTTTCCCCCGCCTTCCCCTGGTACCGCATATCCATTACTACACGTCAACTGCCATATAATTCAGAGCTTATTTTCAGAGCAGATAGTGACAAAACAGCCATTATCAGCCTCAGCTGGTCCCGTTGCCCATCGGCTCGAACGTTTTGTTGCAACGTTAACAGATCTCAAGGAGGAGGACATTAGGATGGCCCCGCCAGCGGAATGGCAGACGAAAGATAACATCTGGGTCGGGCAGCTCGCGTTTGCCGTCCCGGAATCCGCCGTCAGTGGCATTCGGAATCTTACGGATGCATTTAGACTATACATCTGGACACCATTTTTATGCAACGCCATACATACCGGGGCTACCAGGTAGCAGGACCCCCTCGCGGCTTAATGCCACATGGTTGGCATTTGACTCCGGGAGGCATACAACCTTAAGAGAAAGAGCTCACAGTCGACTGGGTCGACATCATTACAGCACATGTACACCTGGCGCGGGACACGCCCAGTCTGCCGTCCCTAGTTAATTTCACGTGTGACCTTGAGCACGACGTGGCATTGCACGGCACGCTGCGAGCCACGAAAGCGCATCAGCGACCGCGTCTCTGCCCCGTACTGCCATTATCACCACAGATGCATTACACGCTCGGCAAACCTGTACGACCGCCGGCCCCGTTACCGGCTGTGGTGCAGCTCACCAAGGCCGACAGGATTATGGCAATGGGAGAATCGGCAGCAGCGGTTGCAGCGACGACAGCACACCAGCATAAGCGGCAACAGCAGCAGCAAGGCCAGCAACAGCGGCAACAGAAAAGCAAGCAGGGACAGCAGCAGAGCCAGCGGAAGCGGCAGCGACAGCAGCATGACCAGCATTAATGGCAGCGGCAGCAGCAAGATCAGCATCGGTGGCAGCAGCAGCAAGGTCAGCAACAGCGGTAGCAACGGCTAGCAACAAAGCCAACAACAGCGGCAACAAAGCCGACTACGCAAGGAACCATGAACGGACATACAGGAATTTTTTAGAAGCGGCAGGATACACCTTAACCGCGGCAGTGGCTAGCCCTCGGATCACAAGCTCGGCAGTCACCATGGCAGTGCCGGGGGCAAAACGAATGCAGAAGCGTGACGAGGCACTGCAGGTACCCAGCATGAGGCAGAGGCAGGCACATAATCACCGAGGGGAACATGACAGCAGCATGGAGCAATCCGCACCGGCGCTGGGCAAACACCAGGAACAGCAAGACCTGGCCAACACCAGCGAAGGCCCTCGCCTGGACGAAAGCATACCGGATCACCATTACGCTTAAGACAAGGAATCAGAGAATGGCTCCAGAGCAAGCTCCCTGGTGCAGCCAATACTCTCAACGACGGAGATTGCAATCCCCGTAATTACTACCCGTTCAACATCATGCAAGGAAATGATCCCGGGCACGCGAACGGAATACATGACCCGAATTAGATCTTTGTAAACGTACATCAACCAAGAAGGAGTAGTTCGCGTAGATTCATGCAACGAATTGTTCATGGCGAACTCAGCTATCGGCAGATAACGGGACGATGAGGATTGATCGCCAGAAACGAAATGGCGCTAACATATCCTCCAAAATGCGATTTGCACGTTCCGTTTGTCCATCCGTCTGAGGATGATAACCAGGATTGCGACGCAAGTCGGTTTGATATCCATCAAAAAGCGACTCGAAAAATGCAGAGGTGAACTTAGATGACGGCAGATGACTGCAGTCGGAACACCATACGAACCCCCTTGCTACAGCCCGCATAAGTCCCCTCCCCTCCTCCCCCTCCTCCTTGATGTGGAGGTGGAGCAGCTGCACGTCCGCACTGCCAGGGCGGTCGTCTCCGGCTTCGTCAACGCGCAGGAGCAAGGACACGGCCAGGGCACGGGGCCGGAGGTGGCCGTGACGACGGGCACGGAAACCAGTCGGGCGTCGCCGCTGCCGTTGTCGTACTGCCCAGAAAGCGGTCCATTTGACGTTTCTGAGGACAGCAGCGCTGGAGGCACCGTCAGGTGCGACGTCGGATGTATGGCGGCTGGTTGACGTACGTGACGCGCCGCCGCCAGCTCTGTACTGATGGCCATGGGCAGTTGACATGTGCTGGTGCTGCTGCGGCGGCGATGACACTAACCGATACAGCTACTGCTGGCATTGGTTGCATTGGCTGCATGGCTACGGCTTGGTGAGGCCCCACTCGGCGCGTCACCAGCAGCTATTAACGGCTGCGGTTAACCAGCGATTCATCACCATCATCATCATCACCATCATCATCATCATCATCATTATCATCATTATCATCATCATTATCATCATTATCATCATCATTATCATCAGCAGCAGCAGCAATTCCGGCTGTTTCTGAAGGCAGCTGCTGACTCCTAATTGACACACCTCACTCCTCAAGCGCTGACTTGCTGAGGTGTTATCATGGGGGCCAGCCAAAATCCAGCAAAACTTTACCCCGAAAACCGCTTCAGACAGTTTCGGGGTGCCCTAAAAAACTGTCAGTCTGACAGGGAAGTTTTCGGGGATGGCCCCGATAGGTTATCCAGAGGGTTTCGGGCACGACCGAAATTATTGGGTACCCTGGTGAAGAACCCTGGTGGGGGGTTGGCCGCTACAACGAGAAGCAGGGCGGAAGGAGAGGTGGGTCCTGTGGCGCATATGATGCGTGTCCTGGGATGGAGGTAGTAATGGTAGGGAGAGGGGAATGAAGATGAGGAACTGCGGTTAGGTGCGCTCTGGCATACAGACTGCTGGCTGACAGTTTGTTGAAACCCCAGCGCTGTTGTGAATCCTTAGAGCCATCTAATGAATTAATTTTGGTTATAAATAGGGTTGCAGGCGCATTAGAAGTTAGAAATAATATTAGAATTAAACTAATTAGAATTCTAATGAGAAAATTAGAAGACCCCTTGAGAACAGATTAGAACGTCCTAATGTCGTACACCCATTAGAATGGCTATTCAGACCGCCTCCGCAGCCTGCAACAGCACATTTTTCTAGGAAAAATGGCTGATGCTGATGCTGGGCCATCAAAACCACCAGTTTCGAAGACTCCTAAAGCAACATACACTTATGGCAACAAGGAGCTAGACGCTCCAGCCTACGCGGAAGCCCTGAAGAGTGCAAAAGCGAGAGGCAGTGCTTCCTGGTGGTCATTTTTCACCGTGATCTTGACAGAAGGAGTCGTGAAGCTGAAGTGCACCATTTGCGGCGAGGTGCTGGGTGCCAAAAATCCGTCTGCAACAGCTCCCAACCATCTTATGAAGCACAGCAAGGCAGCAGAAGTTTTGGGGCGACAGGTTTGGCATGTCCGGACTGTGTGTTGGGTGTTGCTTTGCAGACAATTAGGACTGGACTCTTGGACTCTTGGTTCAGGTACCAAAGATGTTGGGAAGGCATACGCAGAGACAGTTTAATACAGTCTAAGACAGTTTAAAGGCGAAATTAGTGACCCAGAGGTCACTTCGACCGGGGGTTTGGCTGAGAAGTCCTGCTTACGGGTGTCGTAGCCCCGTAAAAACCGTTAAAAACACCTGGGTATCTGGGTATCTGGTATCTGCCGTAACCATGGTGAAACTCCGAAGTGAAAAGTCCCCCTCCCTGAGAAGTTACCCCAGGTCTTCTAATATTATTTCTAACGTTCTAATTAGAAATAATATTAGAATTAGTAGAGAACGCCTGCCATTCTAATAATCTATGCAACCCTAGTTATAAATCGTCAATTTCGAGAATGGAACTCGGGATTTTTCCTGTCGGATTTCGTCTTTTCGACTTTAGCTGTGCTGACGTGAAGGTTCGGGTCAAGTTGGGGAATAGGTTGGGACCTGAATTCACTGTGGTGCTGCAGGTGGGGGGGATGCTGCCTGACGAGTTCATGTCCCCGACGAAGTCCGGCGCGGGAGAGAGAGGAGGGGAGGGAGAAACACGCCCCGCTGCCAGAGGATATTTTGGCTCCACGGGTGTTCTACCCCGTCCGGCCCTGTCCATGTCCATTGTTATCGCCCTGCCGCCTGCCGCGCAAAAAAGGTTTTCTAAGGTAATGAGAAGACGCGAAATAGAGACACACGCATTCACGCAAATTGACATGGGAGCAACGCAGAGGGAGAGCGAAGCGGCTGTGGATACTGCAAGACACAAAAGTTTTGGAGGATACAAAAGAGGAGGATGAGCCCTGCTGTTGTTGTTGTTAAATGCCGTCTTTTTGTATTGGGATATACTGGGAGGGTCACTGATGCTATCCGTATACCGTGATGGTGGGTTTTGTGTTTTTGTTATGTCCGCAGTACTGCCGTGAATTTGAAGTCGTCATCGCGTGTGGTCTGCGCCACCCCGTGTACTGCAGTACAACAGCGTCCTGATACAGCGTCGGGTGGAAGCGGCGGACTGGGCTGGGGTGGGGAAATACAGAAATGTGGAGGGTGGGGGCCCTGTGGTCCTAGGGTCGCACGTGTGGCGGTACCTGTGTACATGCAGATGGACACATGACGCAGGGGGGGAAGGGAGGGAGGGGACACGAAAGGGGTGGAGGCGATGACAACCCACGCGTACATGCCATGGTGGTCGTATTGTTGCCGCCATCACCTTCGTTAAACGTTTGGTTAATCGGTTCGGCTCGTTTTGCCCGAGAGCCACAGAGTAGAACAAGGTAAGGTGCTGCATTACGCTATGCTGCACTTCATGGGCACTGAGCTGCAACAACAACACACCGAGGGTGCTGGTCTTGGCGCTTTTTCGGTAAGGGGAGAGAGGGGGCATCTGTTGCACTTGCCAACCGTTCCGGTCTAAATGTACGGCACGTTTGGAGTTCATGTGTCACCGTTTGCATTGATTGCCATCAAGCGGTAACTAGGATGTGGTGATGGGTACTGATGAGAAGGGTTATAGTTGATGGGTGCGGGATGAGGAGGGGTTGTTTCTACCTGTTCTGTCGGTATCATGGATTGCTGGTCCGCAAGCGGTGTGCTTATTGTGGCCGAGCGCCGTACATGAGGACCCCAACAGGGCACCCCGGTATCGGGTACAGGCGGTGTATGTGATCTGGTAGGGTCAAGGGGAAGAGGGGCTGGCGAGCGAGAAGACCCACGGCCACCACCTGGGAGGTGTGTGGGGAAGGGGGGACGGAAAGGAGGAGGGTGGTGAGCAGGGGAGAGGCGCCCCAGATAGGGCTGGGGGATAAAGAGACCTGCGGGAGAAGGACACGGTGATAAGTCGACGCCAAAAAGGGCAAAGCAGCGGTACAGGGAGGGACGAACCTGAGCATCCGGAGAAGGTGGCAATCCGGAAACGGGCGCGGGCGGGACTCCGGGAAAGAGAGGGAGGAGGGAAAGCAGGGGAGGTGTGTAAGAGGGAGGCGCACCAGGCACCTGAGAGGCAGGGCGCGAGGTGCGCANGAAGATGGGGTGTGCACCGGGCAGGCCGAGAAACTTGTCAATCGGGGAAAAGCCGCACAAGAGAGACGCGACAGCGGCGAAGTGGAGCACCAACTTCTGTGGAGAAACAGAGGCCAAATGGAAGGCGAATAGGAAATGACGGATGTAGCTGCGAGCGCGAGCCGAACTAGAGGAAACACAGCAGGTATCTGGCGATGAAACTGGAAACGTGAGACTGGAAGGTAGACGGACGGTGCAAGAATGCAGGCTTACGTTTTCTGTTACTTGTGACCGTATTAGGTCAATTTCGTACTCACTACTCGATTCCCGTGCCTGTACCCACTCTTATCATCCGTGGTATACAGCCAGTCTTCTGGCAGCCGGTAACTTTTGACATCTGCCAGGCGTTCGTACTTCACAGGCTGGTATTTCAGGAAGCAATTAATGTACATCGGATTGATGCAGAGGCGCAGCTTGCCATCCTTTTCCACCACTCGCAGTCCCTTGATAACCGTGGGTGGGGGTGCGTCAGCTGGCCATTCAAGGATCACCCAGCGGTTTAGAGACTTGCATAGCTCGGCTGTAACAAAGTCGCTGTGCTGAGCCGTGCT